ATATATAGCACTGACACTATGTTATGCGCAACGATGGCATGGCTGTTTTCCCCCTGTAGTTTGTTTATGTACTTCAATTTTAATTTCTCTTTCCCTGCTACGTTCACCCTTCTGTCGTTACAGCATTTGCCCAAGCCATTCCGTTCAAGTAACTTCCCTATTTCAGAATTGTTTTGTTGACAGTACATCCAACACCAGCGTCACTGCCGTGACCGTTTCTTTTGCTCGCTACGGCCGTCATTTTTGCTTCAGTAGGAGATCATCAACCGGATTACAGCATTCACTTCTGTTTTGTTTCTGTTGCGCGGAAATTCCGCCTCTGTATAGGAGCCGAGGCCCTTCTGCCTTCTGTTTCCAGCAGAAATTCTCTCTGCCTCTTAGTTGTACCCTTTTATTTGTTCTACCACTTCAACTCCGCTTCTTATCGTCGGCTGCGCTGCGGGATCGTTCGTTTTTCCTGCTTCTCTCTTTTTTCATGTGTCGTTCACTCACTCTATATCTCGCAGAGCAGTCTTCGAGTGTGACACGGCCTCGCTGCTGTCATCGTGTTTGGAATCGTCAGCTTCCAGTTCCCCGTCAAATCCGTCGAGTTACTTATCACTTTGAGGGCCTCTGGTTAGTCATCCCGATACAAAAATGTCGCTGTCGCCAGAGTCTGACCGATCTGGCAAACTCCGACGCCAGTCGGCGCCGATGGCCCCGGCTAGCGCCAACGAACGCTCCGAGCGACGCGCGTCCGAGTCCGCTCAGCGGCTGTATCTTGGTCCACGGCGGCTATCCGTGCCCAGACTGTCGTTGCAGCCCCTGTCCAAATCGCAGCTGTTCCAGTCGCTATCATCAAACCGGAAACTGCTGATTCGTCGTTGTACAGCCGCCTCCCTACAACCAGCTGAAATCGAGAGCAGCGAATGCACGAACGACGGAGAGCCGGAGAATGACGACGACAAAGGCGTCCAGGTAACGACGCTATAGGTTATAAGAATAATGTTGAGTAAAACTTATTGGTACAGAATATGTTGTGCCAAATCCCATCTATTATATCTGTAACCTAGCCTAGGTACATGCGTGATAGGACAACAGAAATATTTTTTGTACACACACTCTGTCTTGTTGAATAGATGATGGTAATGGCCTTATGTTTGTGTATATGTGATAGTTGAGATAATAGTTCTACAAACTGAAACAAGGGGCATAACACTAGAATAATAATATCATCGCATAACTATATGCAGTAGCATCACATATGCCTGATACATTACGCGATACAAAACGACGAACGGGACGACAATAATAGCCAATTGTCAAGAATGCTGCTATTTGTATGTTGCATAATTTTTTCGCGCGTACCCTTGTTCTTTTGTCGACTATGGGATTTGCGCCCGCCCGGGAATGTGTGTCTAGCGCGAAGAAGATACGCACGAACTCGGTGAACGCTTTGCTCGGGAGTAGACACGTCGTGCAAGCTTCTGGTCTGTGGGAGCCAATGCTACCGCTACACGCTCTTAGACTAAAGCCGACAAGCGTCAGACGCTTAGCGCGAAGCCGGACTGGGACGCTGTGCGATGTGGTGAAACAATGACGACGTCACGCAACGTGACAGCACTGGTCTGCACCTCCCGTGCGTTCATGCTACGCTGAAGTAGATTCGCAAATGGAAACTCGAACGTCATGCATATGTGCAGAGGATAATGCTGCGGTTGGTTCATTGCATAGAAATCGAATGGCAAAAAAATGCGCTAGGGGCTTTATTTAAATTTCGATTTAGCTCGATTTAATTAAGCCATATTCATCAGAGCAATGACGACGACGCCGCCGAAGCTAACAACAATATACGTGTTATAAGTTGGTACGCGCGCATCTACTCGTGTGGATCAGCGAGCCACAAGTTATCGAACAAAACAAAATCGATAGAGACAACAATGGCAATCAGGGGGAAAACAGGCTACGAGTCGCATCGGTAGTGGTCGTTTCAAATAGATCGATGTGATTACGCTTATCCCGTGTGGGTCGTGCGCTTCACTTGTACTTGTATAATAAACGTTTGAAGATTCATTCGCCATCGGATGGTTTTCGACAGATGAAACACTAATTTTATTACGGTCCCTTAAATCGCATCCACGCATATGCTGTCTCTACAACAGCTGACTACCACCGACCAGCTGGCGCCCGAACCAAGGACAGAGGTCGAATTCGTTCATCTTAATACTTCTGTCGCGCGGCCATACTGAATCGTACTGATCACTACTCCGACGTTCCGTAATTGATCGATTTTTGCCAGGGACCCCCTGCACTTTTCTACGCTCGTGACGTTACAGTCGTTTCATACGATACGCGAGCGATAAAACGTGATGGACGTCGCATCGTTGGGTAAACAGTCACCAACACATGTTCTACAGCAGCTAGTTGAATTTTCTAGCTGTGCAGAGTAGAATGATAGCCCTCGCATGTCGCACTCCATGCATTACCTGCTGTATTGACGCTTCGTATGTACTCTACTTTCGGCGGCGTACATTTGCACAGGTAGCGAGTTCGGTCCATGTCGTCATTTGTTTGGTGTCTTCCGGCGGCACGTTTCCTACGCGCCTTTCACACAGATAATAATGACAACGATAAGCAGGAAAGCTAGAAGGCAAAACACCTGATGGGACTGTTACAGAAAAACCTTTCTGGGGGCGGTGCAAGTGAAGGGGGGGGGGGGGGGTAAACGAGCACTGACAGAGACTTCTGGAGCGCCGGCAATAAAGAAACCTAGTAGAGAACAGTAACGTTGATTGGAGATATGTTGCCTCAAACATGCCTGGTCGCTATAATTCGATAATACCTGTAACAGTGGATTTTGCGCGTTCGAAAAGTACCGCAGCAGAAGTAAGACAGAACGCGTACGTTTAGCGGAAACGTAGAAGCTAAAGTACTTGTCTGGTCTCAAACGCAGTCAGACACGAGTACCTGCCTAAAAGTGAGCACCGTAGATGGCAGTAATACAACGTTTTAATGGTGCGATGCGAAGAGCTATGGCGATTAAACAGTTGAGTATAGCAACAGCTGCATCAACTGCAGCTGTAACTAGTCGACATTGGCGTTGTATACAACAATGGTAAGAAAGAAAGGACTGTGCACACGTGGCTAAGGTCTAGCAGTTAGGACAAACGTAACGGCGCTCGCACAAAATGCTAAAAATAAGGCGATTCAAATTGACACGGAGAGCGACTATACGCCAGGAAAGTGTGTGCTCCTTCTTAAATCGCGTTCGCAATAATACTTTGGTTCCCTGTACAAAGTTGCCAAAGATAGTCATCTCTGAAATTATACATCGTGAAATTAGGATTCGGACGTTGGCTTCTTTGGATTGTTTTACCGATCCGTCGATATGCGTGGTACATGCAGAGTCCCACAAAGTATGCAAAAAAAACAGACGAAGATTTATAGACAAACTACTTTGATTATGTTCGCAACGTTTATTAAAGCGTTTATGTTCACGCGTCAATTTAATAGTACATCTTGTAAGCACACTTTCCCAACATTGAAGAACTACGCTGTTGATAGACCAGTTATTTGGACCTGTTACAGCGTCACGTCTTAAGTTATCGCGACCCAATTGGTTATACCAATTATTTGCCTTCATACTTTAGTTGAGTTCCGATAAAAAAAACTAGGACTTGACGCCATACGTATAATGTACAGTTGTTTTTATCGAATTATCCACAGTAACTTCATAGGAGCGGTAAACCAACACCACAAAAACCTTGCCGTTTTTCCTACGGAGTTAACTATTAACCATCTTTTCATGCCGGTAGCAACGCTAGCGTATGTTCGGTCAATGTTTTGTTCGTTTGTCGCTAATGCGTCATCAACATTAATAAATTATGATTTCTAATCATTTTCTGGATTGAAATCACTCAATCACAGGAGGTAACAGGATACAAATAACGGCAGAGGGAAGGAATCCATCGCCATTCTACCAATCACATAATTTCCAGATAACAGCGACTGCCCAATCCGCTCCTGCTGTCGCCGCGGTAGATGTAGCAACAGCAGAATTATCTATAAATCTTTTCTTACCGCCCCTCTACTTTCAAGCAACAATTGCACAATGTGGAACCAATTCAATGTCGTAGGCCCACCGGCAATAGACGACACTGCTTGTAGCAGGAATCCGAACATTAAGCGTCCCTTTTCCACATCAAGGAAGCAGCTTTGTTCGTGGCTTGCTCACACTACAGGCCAATGGCAGACAACGTTAACGAACGTCTTGAATGGCCTCGGCAGCCTGTTGTGGACGATCCTTCGTGGGATTTCGAGTAAAGGTGAAAATTGCACAAATGAACAAGTAAACGACAACGATGTATAAATTGCTTTAGACAACAGAAGTAAGGTTCAGGGAAAAAAGAGAGGGGAAACAATAAAAATGAAATAGACGAAAAAGAGGACAGGAAAGGTCAAAGCTTCTGTTGCTAAAACAGAACCGAAGACATCAACGTGCCGTTCCCATATGATTTCTATGGTAACAGTGGCCATTGTTACAGTCAGCAAGTCCTTTTCTCTCTGGCTGCTTTTTTGACTAATAGATTTTGGCAAGGCCTAGTTCATTTACTTTTCACGTACTTGACTAACCGCCATTTGATAAATTGATTTTAGTTTCTGCAACTTTTCTTTAATCTGTATCTATTAATAATAACTACAAATATGGACAAACGAGGTCTCATTAGAGAGGCTATACACGGAAGTAAGTGTAACGCGGTTTCCGATGCATTCGCTCTTTGGAGGCTTACAAAAATCTTCTGATCGTACTATGATAGAAAGGTTTAGCGAGTACTATTAGTACTATCAGCTAAAACTTCAATAGAAGCTATGTTAAATCATTATTCAAAAAATTTAATAGATTTAGAGCTCCATTTGGTTGTCGGTCGCACCGGCACGCATCAGAGTAACGTTGTTGCGGGTTTATTTGAAGAGACGACGGCCTTTTTATCTCTGCCCGTTTCACGTCTACCCACTGAGCTGGTGACAAACTGTCTGGCGTCCTATTCGCTTTTGACTTACGTTGTTCCCTTTCTACTGCAGCTATAAATATCTAGCCACCTGCCTGTGATCTGTCCGTCTCTATCGGGACCCTAATGGGTAGATGTCCACACACGTATATGAGACAGCATATCCTAATAAGGCCAGCCACCCTGCCTTTCATCTCTCGTTGGAATGTGGATGTCACAGCATTGAGTGAGAAGATACGATTTTCGGTAGGGGGACAGGGAAACGGCAGAATGCAGCTATTAAACGGTAGCAACAGTGGCGTGAAAATGAAAGGACATCTGAGAATGAAAATCGGAAAGTTTTCTGTGAGAGAACACGCCATTGATTTATAATGACGTTGATTCCTCAGTGTGGCGTCAGGGTTTGGTCTTACCGTACGCATGCGTAGACGGCCTTCGACTATTGTGAATATAGTGCAGTTGGTATTAGGTCAACACAGAGCACGGACCGGATTTCGAATGTAAGCTGTAGTGTTGTAAGTATATATATATATATATATATATATATATGGCAGCTACATGAGGGATTAGGCTCACTCAGGATTACGGTCAGCGGATTCATGTGGATGAGCGATTATTAAAACAATAAGTCTTCAGTCGCAATATATTGTATAATACAATATTTTTTTTCTATAAGCGAAGATCGATGTTTTTTTACACTATTTCTAATCGTATTTTCGTCGTACTATATTCGAAAAGGATCCTTTTTTATAAGAGGTCCGCACCTGCGCCTAACCCAAACCTTAAAGATACTCAAAGCGTAGACGATAATTTAATCGCCTCGCGCACTGGTGTCTCTTAGTATGTACAATAAAAGAATCAAAAGTAGACAGATTTAACGAGACTTAATTCGTAGATCCCAACATAGAGCAAAAAATAGACCAACTGTGCAGAAGTAACTGTAGTAATGGCATTGGAACGACGGACTGT